ACACCAAAACAAGCAGCCACTCAGTAACCCAACCCCCCCCACACACACACCCAATCCCCCCCTTCAGATCTCTATAAATACCCACAAAAGGATCACATCACCCTGGGCACAGAGAGAACTGCTCCTGTCTGTGCTCCTGCACTCTGAAGATGCCAGTCACATGTGCTGGCAAAACGTTAGGAAACAAAACTTCCAGAACACCGCCACACAGCCTGGAAGACCCACACCAGCCATTGTATGCTGGCCGTGAAAGCCTTCGACAATACATATACTATGTGTTGTATCTTCCACTTTCTTCCATAAAGTTCAGGTACCTTTATTAATCTAATGTATGTGTATTGTGTGCTGACAAAGAATTGTCTATCTAGTGGCATGGGAGTTCCACTAACAACAAAGATACTCACACGTGTCTGCCTTCTGTATATTTCTGGCTTTCATTATTCTAACTGTGAGAAGTCTGAACGGAGTTTCTTCCCTCTGTTAATAAAACAGCAACACATAAACATCAGCATTTGTGTGATTATATTTGGAGATATGGACCAATACAAATGAGAGAGAGAAGAAATAGCATGTAGGGCTTCAGATTTAAAGGGGAAAAGGTGCTCCTGAATGCACAGTAACAGGCATGTAGAAGTTCTCAATGATGCCTTAAGCCAAATGCATCCTTTCTGAAGGTCGCACTGCAATACATGGGGCAGTTCCCAGGAAAGAACACAGCTGCTTTATGGAGTTGCTGCATGAGCAAGATAAGCATCTGTACATGCTCCAAAGAACCATTTTTCTTTCAATTCTGAAGCCCTGCACAGCCCAAATGGTGAGTCAGAAATAGATAAAAGTTAATAGTTTCTGAATTCTCTAAACCAGTGTTTCTCAACCCCAGCAACTTTAAGATGTGTGGCTGGGGAACTTTAAGCATGCTGGCTGGGGAATTCTGGGAGCTGAACTCCACACATCTTAAAGTTGCTGAGGTTGAGAAACACTGCTCTAAACTAACGGGGTGACACACTGACTGCCCTCTCCAGAGGAGGTAAGACCTTATGAAATCTGGGTCAGAGCTCTTCCACACCAACAGACCATTCATTTTTGAGCTAGTTGAAAACATACCTGAGATTGATCCAGGCTGCTTGGACCATTTTAATATCTATTCGGGTGTGTGGTTGGTATGAGCACAGGCATATTCCATTTGTCAGGCAACAGTTCACAGAGAACCACTAGCCAGTCAGCACTTGGTCTTTCTGGCCAACAGTTCCTCAAGCAGATCAGTAGCAGGGCGCCTGGTCCTGCTGCCCCCACAAGCTTAAGTCATTATCCCTTTCCTCACTTCACTACAATAAAAGAGAATCAGTTGCTACCTTTTCCCTATGTGCTATACTGTGCCTTTCAGGCTCCTAGTGAGGCTTGTGGTGGCAACTCTTCAGCACACCAGCACCCTGCTAAGAGATGGGGAGGGGGAGGGAGGGCAACTCAAGAATCCTTCCAGTGAGCACAAGGCCACTTTTTCAAGCATTCCCTGTCTTGACGGTGCATTTTCCTGTCCATGAACACAATGTGCTATACTGTGCCTTTCAGGCTCCTAGTGAGGCTTGTGGTGGCAACTCTTCAGCACACCAGCACCCTGCTAAGAGATGGGGAGGGGGAGGGAGGGTAACTCAAGAATCCTTCCAGTGAGCACAAGGCCACTTTTTCAAGCATTCCCTGTCTTGACGGTGCATTTTCCTGTCCATGAACACAACAGACTGGCCGGGTTATATTTCAAAATTGTTTGCAGTTGAATGCCCCTGATTACACTACTGTACTGTTTGAGAAGGGGGCTCATCTTGCGGGGTTACTAGGTCTGCATTTATGTCTGGAGGATCTTCTAATGAACGATCACTATTATATGTTACTTTTTTCCCTTAGTAACATAGGGATCTGTTCCTAACCACAATGACAGCAAGATGACAATATATTTATTTATTTATTTATTTATTTATTAACAAGATTTATAAGGCCGCCCAGCTCAAACAGTGTGACTCTGGAAGGGGTACAGCAAATAATAATAATAATAATAATAATAATAATAATAATAATAAGCCAACTCCCCGCCCCCAACATATAACATTAAAGGTATACAATATATAAATATAAAATAGACCAAGCAACATAACAGAACAACTAAAAAGGGACTGTCACTCAACTGGCCCCTAATGTCTTGGGGGAAGTGCTAGGTCTTAACAGTTTTCCTAAAAGTAAGTAGAGTTGATGTGATGTCATGATACAAGCTCTGCCTCTCCTTGTACTTGTTTCATGACATCACACACAAGCACATAAGGGGCAGTGTTTGCATTGTGACATCATGATATTTTATAACTTGCCTCCCACAGCCTCCAGGCATCTGCCTGTGCTTCATAAAGCTGTATTTGCTTGAGAAATGCAGTTATGGGATTTCTGTCCAATACCAAAAACAAACAAACAAAAATCTACTAGCAAACCTGCAATTTGAATGTTCAACCACAAGACCCAGACATGTTGGAATTGAACTGGAGGGAAACATATGAATATTATTAGATACTCTTGGAGGTGTGTATAATATTCTACTCTATTCTATAGAATAGAAACCATCAAAGAGTGGTCCTCACATGCAAAAGAAGAGGGTGTGCATGCTACCACACATAACATTACTAAATAGAGAGTTGGTATTCATAAGGTGTTTATGCTGGCAGAATGCCAAACATCTCTTCAGCTGTTTGTGTTTGTGATCAGCAAATAGCTTCATCAGCTACGAATGCTGTATGCAAGGGGTCATCCTTTCTGCTGCATTTCCAGTGGCCTGTTCAGAATGAACATGTATAGAGAATGCCTCATCCTCCAAATATCAGGTCAATAATTGCTCATTCTTCTTATTATTGAGCTGTGAGCCCAACATTAGAAGTAATATAATAACAGCAAACCAACAGCAGCAACTATTTCCACAGTGAGATGGGCGGTGACAAATTTGAAATATAAATAAAATAAACTATTAGGAGAGAAAGGGCAAAATTCCCAGGACAACTGCTAATCCCTAACGGCCACAAAACAGCCACAGTTATGTGCTGACTTCCTTGGGACTGAAGCATGCTTAGCAATCTGTACATGTTCACATGCTCATCTTCCTGTGGGCTAGGTGTTCATTTGAGGAACTTGCTGTACAGTACCAAGTCTGACCAAGTGCCCTGGCCCTGTGAAAACAGTGTGGTAGTGATTACAGCAAAACACATCCTGGATATTAGGAAACTGAGGCTGGGCCAGGATATGATGAGACTTCACATCTGATGATTCCATGCTGACTTCACAAGGTGAAATTAGCATTCCATAACTAACTTGTGGGGAAAGCCACATATGTGAAAATTACCATATGAATCAGCTTCCATGTCAAGTTCTATTACATTGCTTATGGATTGATACTACTAATATGAAATGTCCCAGGAGGAAGAGGGACTGTTGGTGCCTGTTTGAACAACCAAGTATGCAGCTGAGTGTATTCCTCCCACAAAGAGACAGAAGGAAACAAAATAAGGAGACATAATGTGGGAAAGATCAAACATAAGAAAAGATGTCTAGCTTCTCTGAAGTAGGACATCCTCAACTGCTCCTATAATTTCAACTAGGCTTTACTGATTAATGGTTTACTTACTTCTGGATTCAGTGGCAATTGCCTCAGTAGGATTTCATTATTCAAATGTTACATTCTTTTTTTAAAAAATGAGAAAAATATTAATTAAAGTTTCCTGCTCTCCCATTCAACTACTCACAAAATGACCTGGCACATACATTACCCTAGCCCATGATTTGCTTAACAGTGTTTTGTTGATTAAACCATAACTGGATGAGTCCTCCCATCATATTAAGCCAGAAACCATGGTTTATAAGCCATAGTGGCTGGGTTCATACAAAACACTGAAACGAACATGAATAAACTATGCTATGGCTTAGTATGTGTGAACCCACTCAGTGAGACAAAGTATCTTTCAAAAAATTCAGAGAAGCTTCACAATCCCCCAGTCCAAATCAACAGGTAACAAAACCGATTAACATATAATGTAATTTATTTTGTTTAAAGCACTAAAGCACACCACCCCAATGTTTTAACAGCATTTTGTCCACCCTGGTACTATGGTTGCTTTATAACATGTACAAAATGTATTACAAATCCAGTTTAAAAGAACAAGACCATTTCCTGTCTGGGGCATCCTCGTAGCATCATCTAGCCTTTGCTGAAGTAATATAAAGTCTGTCCTCACTATTGTAATTTTGCCACAACAATGGTTAGATGCTTCTAGAAGATGCTATACATTGCCAGTGGGATAAATGACCTCCCAAAGAAATAAAAAATACAAGATTTAAAATGAAAATAGGAATGATGACTTTTTGGCTATTCAAAAGCATTTTTAGCTACAAGATACTGACTACAATGTAGTAAAAGTTAAGTCCAAGGTTAAGAAATGCAAACTTTTATTTAATTTACATCAATGATGCATACAGCTGAAGGAAGATTATCTCACACCTAGTTTAAGGAAACACACTACCACCTCTTGCAAATTAAAACAAGTATTATAAAATTTGGAATTTAAAACAGTTATTATCAAATTATTATAGCCAACCAACTTCATCCTCTATAAAACAACAGACTGAAAAAGGGCATTCAGCTGCTATTAATTCAGCTTTAAACTCTGGCAGTTAAAAGTATAAAAAGGAAAACAGCATAGCATATACTACAGCCTGATACTTAGAAAGTAATGGATTTAATTGTACATATGAAGCAAATTGAAGAAACTCAGCACATAAAATTCATCAGCCTTTCTAATCTGGTGTTCTCTGAATGTTTCTGTCTACAACTGCATCATCTCAAGCTAGGATGGCTATTACAAACAAATTAATTGAAACATAAATGAGCATAATTTACAGCACCTCCCAGGGACAGGATGTGGTAAAATAGTCAAGATGGTGGCCACAATTATGGGATAGAAGCTCCGCATGTTTATTATGTGTATCACATGTGCTATCTTGACTTTTTTTTACCATGCCCTGTGGAGGCCCCTCTCTTCTCCTCTTGTTGAATGGAAACCATGCCCATTTCTCATCAGATAACAAACAAACCAATAAGGTACCAAGTCATATGGAAAGGTAGCCTGACAAATGATTTAAAGGGGAAACTGCATTATCATCTAATTAGACTACACATTTATGAAAGTCGTGGAAAGATTCATTATCCTGAAAAAACTATTCCCCAAAAACAATCTTCACATTCTTCTCAAGTGAAAGATACAGAAAAAGGTTTGCTCTATTGGACACTACCAAGACAGAGTTTAACAGGGAGATAAATTTATCAGTGCACAATATAGGATCCAGAACTTGCTTGGAAGCAGTAAACAAAGTTGTATTGCTCTATTTATTCCTATGAGCTTTGGACGCAAACATTTATAGCTTCTTAAAGCAGTACCAGGGTGACAGGGTGACAGTACAAGGCCTGTCTTCATTATCGACACATGGAAACAGCAGTGGATGGCAGATGCTTTAAGTCAGTATCGATTATGTGTGTGGGAATGACTTTTCTCTGCTTTTAAACAGGTATGTGACAGAGCAACATTCAACAAATATAACTTTTCCAAGCATGTGATAGGGAGTACCTATTCAAATATAAAAGTGTGTGATGCGATTCTATGTGCATCTAATCAGAAAAATGTTTAATTCAGAGGGACGTGTTCACTGCCAGATATGTTTAGGATCGCTCCCTTAAACATCATATTGGATACCTAACCCTGGGTGTTATAGCCAGGGCCTGTAAGACACAATCTTTACAAAGTTCCAGCTTAGCTGCTTGTAAGAACCTCTAGGAAAGGAGATGATGGTTCCAGCAAGAGTACATGGGAAAACTGTTGTGTGGCTCAATATATGATCATATAGCAGATACACTCAGTTGGCACCTACAAAAACTCCAACATGGGGGCAAACTCACAAAATAACTCAGTAGGTCCTAAGCATGTTCCAAGGATGTGAAATGCTGCCTTTCAAGGGAAACTTGCAGAAAAGGCAGAATGAAATGGAGTAGTTGGGACTCTAATAGAAGCACTGAATACTGCAACTTGAGTGTGCTCACTGTGGCTCTTTAACTACAATGTGTCACTCTGCTATGGTTTAACACTGCAGGTAAGCACGGAGTTAACATTAATTGGCATGTGGAACTATAGGTACTTGTGGACTTCAATGTGTTATTACAGATTCCTAGGAATGGTAGACACTGAAGATTTACAGTTCACATAAAACAAAGTGGCACTACCAACTGAATTTAAAGATCTGTGTTGAAGGAAGAGGAAGAATTACACAGCACATATTTAGCCAACCCAGTTAGCATGCTAAAAGAATTTGCCCATTTTCTTCCTATTCTTTAATGGTTTTATTACTGTATTGCTATTTTGGCCCAGCAGTTTGTCCTTTTTATATAAAACAATTCAAATGTTTTATCAATACAATAAAGAGAAGCTTGACTGCAAATATATCTTCAAAGGGATCAAGTATTCAAAAACAGTTTTGGTATCATCTGTATAGTCTTACACCACATTCTGTACCCTGTGCATCAGGTCCAGTGCCTCAAAATGGAGAGGGGGAGGACTGGAATATGTGCATAAATATAATGAAGCATACATTGTGCCTATAAGACACAAATACTCATATTTCCATGAAATAAGCTAAGAATAAGAGAATGAGGAGAAAAAGTATATGAGGGAGGGGGGAATCACCTATAATGAATAAAAGAAAAATGAAATAAAGATGTAAGGACCTTGTAAGGCACATGCTATTGATATAAACAGTAATAGCTTATAAATCAGCCAAGTTTGGGGTAGGTTTGAAAGGCTTAAGGGACCCTATTCACACCTTTAGTCTCCTGAACTCCTAAAAGAAAAATGGGACTGAAAATTTCAGCTCCACCTACTTTGAAGGATCTGAGGACTTCAAATGACTGATAAAGGTTGCAAACTCATCTTATTGTTTCTGTGGTTTTGTTATTGCTGCTGGCTATTCCTCCTGAATTTCATAGCTCTGCATTACTCTGCAGCCTTTCTGCCTATCTGTTCTTCCTGATCTGAAGAAGAACCAAGAGAAGAGTTTCCTCACAACTCCTAGCCTTCAGCTTTAATTGATGTTCACAAAGAAGATGTCAATTGTTCGGTAAAAGACAGGTCACATCCACAGACTCCATTAGCTACTATATAAGTACAAAAATCCATCCCGGACAATTTTTCAAAGTAATTCACCTTTTTTCCAAAAGCAGTTTTTCTCTAAAATTAAAGCATTTTTTCCTCTAAAATTAAATGAGAATAATTGAAAAATATGCAAACATTTTCAACTCAGTACTTGTCCATTTTGTACATACCACTCTTTCCCGCTCTTCTCGATTGTTGGCTAATCCCTAAAGAAAAAACAAAATACATGTATTTTAAACACAAATTTAAAATACTCATTTGATACTTCTATAAGTATCAACTTGCATATATATACCACAATTTTCCCATTAGCATTTGTTTGTTTGATGTAGGGATTTCTATCCAGCTGTTTTCAAAGGAAATGAAGCACAAATATACTGTACAGCCTCCCTAAAAGAGTAGAGACAATAGGCAACTCTTCAATGAGCACCATCTGTGGACTTGTCAAAAAGCAGTCTAATACATTCTAATTCTCTCTACATTTAAAATTAATCACAATGAGCTTCTAAACTAGCTTTTCACAAGTTCAAGGTACATTATTTTGCGCAGAAGAATTTCTTACCTCAGATGAACTTGAATTTGCTCCCATGGTAGTATCAGTTGCATATAATTCACTCCAGGGGCTTGGAATGGAACACAGTGATAGACTCCACCACTGACAATGCCTCCTGCCTGAAGGAGACAAGAAGATGTTTTAAAACATGATTCATGACCACACCCCTCTCCGAATTCCAGAAACATAAATAGTTCCCTCCCTCTCTTCCTCAGTCTGTTGAAGTAATCATCTTGGTTAATTGGGGGTGAAGGCCTTAATACTGCTGTGGACTTAAATCACTAGATTGCTACCACATAGATATGAAGCAAGTCAGAGCATCATCAGTGATTGTATCTGTGTGCTGCGTCCTCCACAGATGTGGCCCATTCTACAGTTTGCACAAACAGGGGTTCAGAGAATCAGAAAAAGAGAGCAGAGATCTGAGAATAGGTTGAAAATTAAACACTTTAGGGTGGAGGACCTAATTGTGGTAATCGGGTACAAGGCTAGCAGATTTGCTATCCAGTATAGGAATTCCTACATCCTTCCTTGTGAAAGTATGGATTTTAATTCATTACAATTTTATCTCTCTGTTCTTCTAAGGGGCTCAGTGTACATATCGTCTTGCTTCATTTTTATTCTCACAACAACTATATTGTGGGGAAGATTGGAGTGAATGAAAATGACTGGCCCTAAGTCATCCTTTGATGTCCATGATTGAGTAGGAACTTGAACCTGGGTTTCCCAAATCACTGTAAGCCAACTTGTCTGTCCTGGGATTTTCAGCAATTAAAGGAATAGGGAGCAATAAAAATACAAATGAATCGGGTTCCCCAATTTATTTATTTATTATTTCAGTTTATATGGCTGCCGATCTCAAATTCATTACTCTGGGTGGCCATATAAATAGTGCCCTCCAGATGCGTTCAGACAGTTTTTGGACTTCCCAACCAGCAGCAATACTATAGAATTTGCTTCTAACTTTTTCAATGAGATTCCACAGAACAATTAGGGCTGGCATTTGAGGAACCAACACAATTCAGTTCAAATTCAGAAGTCCTATGGCCCCATTAAAGTCAACTGTCATGTTGAACATACTCATAAAATCAGTGGGACTTTACTTAGATCTGTTCAGGGGTGTTATCTAGTCAGTTTGTTTGAACTAATAATTAATTTTTTGGGTTCTTCCTGGGCTTTTTCCTGAGGAGCATCACACTGGGACCTGGTGCTGGCTGACCCATCGATGTTCTCCATTAACTCTGCTTATTGCAAGCCAGTTGTGAAACACACGAATGGTGATCACATAACTATAGGATGCTGCGATAGTCATAAATGTGAGGATTGGTTGCAAAGCTGTTTTTTTACACTGTTGTAACTTCAAAAAGTCACCAAATGAGGCAGTTGGTAAGCGAGGCCTACCTGTATTAGGCTGCAAAACAGTTTTCAACATCTTTAGATAATTATTGGGGGGGGGGGAGAGTTTAAACATGGTAAGTACCCTTCTGTACTTTGAGGTGGATGGAAGAGAGACCATAGGAATAGATTGAGTGCCTAATGAGGCCAATGCGTGCATATTTAGGCAAAGGATCTGATTCTGCTTGAAAGAAGAGTGGGGTACAGAAGAGGAGAAGCTGGAACCACTTGTTGCCTAAGTTAAAAAACACCCATGGATGTTCCCCAGACTCCCAAAATGTTGGGCCTGCAACAGATGTAGGATAACTGTCCTTCCAGGGGCATCTATGGAGGGTGATCAAAAGGTCAAGATGGCAGTGGTGACCATGTAACTGAAGCTCCACCCTTTTGCAGATGGGTGTATCTATAAAGAGTGGGGCTTCAACTGCATGGTCACAACCACCATCTTGACATTTTGACCATCTCCTGTGGACATCACTGTGTCCTTCCCAAGGATGAATTGTATTCTGCCAACTGCACACACGTGAAATTGCTTGCAATGACTCACCTTATAAGTCATATATCATATGCACACTTTTAAAGCAATATTAATAGCCTTTGGTAAGTCCATTTTGACAAAATGCATTGCTATGTAAGCTATTAACCACCAATAGGGAAAGAGGATAATAACGTCTTGGGATGATAAATCAACTTTCTGATACCAATGAAACAAAAACATTGAGGAAGCCTTTGATCTTATAGGGCATCTTATTGTGCTGTGTGAAAAGTTTGGTGCCTGACTGCAATGCAAGCAAGGCATTCTTTTTTGGTGTTCTTCTGGTATAAGACCCCATAATCCTGAGAGTATCAATTAAACTACTCTCACCATTTCTATTTTGGTTTGGGTTTGATGCCCTATAAACAGTATATGAAGGAAGTTTGGGGTTCTATAAACATAGACAAGGAAAAATATATTATCAAAGAAGTTTTGAAAGAATTTTTAGAAAGTGGATAAAAACTCCATCCAAGGTGTATTTTTTCCTCCTTTCTACTTGCATTAGTTTCAAGGGCTCTTTACACCTCAACCAAGAGAGAGCCAGTAGCCAGCATAGGCTCCAAGTCCTTGCTCCATCCAGTCCTATCTTCAAACTGATGGATTTCAGGGTTGTAGTGCAGAAGAGGAAAAAACAGGTTCTGAGATTCACCAGTTCCACCTTCAAGTCCTTATCCTCCTTTACTTTTTTGCCAAGAAGTAGCAGAGGAGAAACTGGTAAGAGTAGGAGCAGCTGCCTCCAGTTATCAAGGTGCCCCCTTCCTCCTCCTCTTTGTGGCCACTCAGCTGGGCTGAACGGCTGGAGTACGAATATGCCCAGTCCATCCACCAGGCTTCCCTCTTCCCCCACACATTACTTGACCCACCAACCACAGCCACCCACTGCTTCTCTGAGACTCTCCTATGTGTAAGAATAAAGTCACAGTCATGTTGTGCCTCCAAATCCCAACTCATAGTCTAGGAGGATATCTTGGCAAACTATATCAAAGGCAGCTGTCAGATCAAGCAAGAGTAGGAGACTTGTGTTCTCTTTTTCTCTTTTTCTCCCTCCCCATCTCTCCCATGAACTTTATCAGTCACTGGGAATTATCATGGCTGGTTCTGGCCTGAACTCTGACTGAAAAAGATTGGGACAATTGGTATCTTTCAAGAACATATGAAATTGTATAGACATCATTTTCTCAAGTACTTTGGCCAAAATCGGCAGTTGTAGAAATCCAGTGGATCAGGGAAGGGATTCTTCAGAAGTGGGCAAACCATTTTCTCCTTTAAGGTTGGTTTTACCACATCATTGTGCAAGGATGTGTTCACCACTCCCTGGATTCCCTTAGTCACCCCTTTTGCCTAACTTGAATAAGTCAAGACAGGCAGGGGTCAAGACAGAGTGTCACGCTTCTTGTCTGTAACTCAGATCTTAAAAGCTGCAAGCAATTTCCTAACAGGCCAGACATATATGCTACGAAATACCAAATACTATTACGTACTAGGGCAGAGCATTACTTTGGATTTGATTTTAAAAAGGTGCTTCAGTGAGTACAGGAATAAGAATATACACCCATCTACTACCCTTTAAAGCAGCTGCATGTTTTCCCTGGGTTTATGGCTGGTCTCTGCAACTGCTGCAAGATCCTGGGAGAAGACATAGCTGCTTTAAAGAGTTGAGACAGGTTCTATCTTCATGCCTCCACAATGTCCCAAACTCCTTTTTGAAATCAAATCCAAAGCATTGCACAGCCATAGTATTTCATGTAACAACAGCAGCATTTGATTAAACTTCATCCTCAAAGGGTCTCGCAGATCTGTCATAGCAGAGGGCTCTAATACTGAGGTTTCCCACAATCAACTTAAAAACTTTTGCTGGATGGCTGAGGATCCCTTGGAGGCTGCAAAGTAAGCTTTTTAGTCGCTTTCACTGTCACACAATAGGATTAACTCAATGCTTTGACCCTTTGCCAGACAATACTGGGGTAATTCTTACATCACTCGCCCTCTAGCCATCTCCTGGCCTATGTATCTGTTGGTGTCTTACTTTGCATTGGGTTCATATGCCTTTCTCTGTGTCTGCTTAGTTTGGATCTGAATATTTGTGCGTATGTGATTGTCTGTAAATTTAGCTTTTTGTCTGCGTGTTTCAATGTTTGCATGTCTGAGTTATTCAGAATTATGTAAGTTAAAATGTTTTTTTTAGATTGGACTAAAGGCAAATTTACAGCCATGCAGACATACATACTTGTGAACATTGAAATATAAACTTAATTCAGAGCTGCCTCCCCATGGACTTGATTTGATTGTGTGCATGTATGTGTACAGTATATATGTGCACATTTGTGGGTATATCTGATTAATACTTGGATCTGTGAGCATACAGATACACACAGATACTTGAATGGGACAGCAACAAGAAATCTCAGGGTTATAAGCTAGATAGTGAAGTTAAAAGAAAAAAAGAAAAACATTCCCAGAAGTATACACTAATTGTGGCAAACTATTCCCATACCACTGCAAAGAAAATTACATGGACTTGTCTCTGAGTTCAGCATGTATCCAGCTTGATTCAAAGGAAATAACTTTGTGTATGCCTGATGTCTGTATAATTTTGCCAGTGGAACTTTGCTTCGTACACCTGCACGAGGCATAATTTCATGGGCCATCCTTCTGAAGTGACCAGAGTAAATGTACCTTTCAATCTCTGTGTGGAGAAGATCCATCACCAGCCCAAGCTTGTCCTGAAATTCCAGTTCAAACTGTGAATGAAGGAAGTTTAATTCTAATTCCATAATAGGATTTATGAGGACGGCTACCTTATATGGGTTGCAAAAATCCAGAACCCCCCGCCCCCCCCGCCAGAGGACAAGAAACCATTTTCAGTTTGGCTTTGCTGCCATCTACTGGTCATCTGGATTTCTGCAGTGGAAATCTAATATGCTGAATGCTAATACAGGTAAAGTCTTTACCAATTGATATTGTGTGATTCATTGATTGATTACATGCTGTTAAGTCATTGTCAGCTCTTAGCTACCACACAGATACATTTTCTCCATAATGATCTGACCCTAACCTGGTCTTTCAAGTATTTAATTACCAGTTTGATGGCATTTTGAAACATGAG